TATATATATATATATATATATATATGTTGTATTTAAATCAACATCTAGCAGTTAGAGTGTTAATGTACATAGAAAGTAGTAAATATAAATACAAACTCCATGGCTTTAGTCCACAAGCGAACTATACCGACCAAGTGAATGCCACTTGTCAGCAAAGTTAGTGCCAACTTTAGCGGATAGAGGGTGTCGCGTGGTCAGTGCAACGAATCCCCATGGCTGTTAATGTCTGTTTTCTATATAAATACACACTTTACAATTTAATAATGGAACTATGTAAATCACAGCACCTGAGGATGGCCCTATAAGGGTCGAAACACGCAGTGGAACGTAAGTTAATAAATTACAGTTGCGTTGATGGTGGAATTTGTATTATTATTCAATGTTATGTAGTCCAACATATAATTAGCATCATTTTTGAATAACCTGCTACCTCCATCTTCAGTTAAGATGGAAGAAGCACGTTCCTTTGAATTGCTGGTAACGGTCTACCAAACTGCCCTAGTATCACACCATAGAAAACAGCAATCTTCCATCATCATCATCATCATCATCATGTCCATAGGAGCCTGTGACAGGAACATATTCTAAGCCAGTTGAGCCCAATCCATGTCCACAGACCAGACTTCTTTAGAATAACTTCATATTATCCTCCCATCTATACCTAGGTTTTGCGAACTTTTCCCTTTCACTTCAGGTTTCCTGACTAAAATTCTGTACACATTTCTCACCTCCCCAATGGCCCACCCAGCTGATAAAAAATATTTCCATATATCCTACAGTTTACTTAGTCTCAAAAATGATCAAAGCTTTTTTTTTTCTTTCATTTTTGTGCGTCATGCAGCACATTTGGCATATTTAAGCTGCTTTTGCATTATATAAAATTCTTCCATGTAACTGTAGGTAAATGTACAGTAAAAGTAAAAGTAAGTAAAAAGTAAAGCTATCCCTGTACCAGGCCATGAAGGGCCATAGGCTTGTGAGATGTTGAGGGTCCCACATTATCCAGACAATCATCTCAAAAATGGCGTTAAGGTTGTCAGCCTTATGCGCCAGCTGCGCTTTACTCCCCAGGAAAATTATTTAATTAATTCCCGGTACTCATTTGAGTTGACCCCAGGGCCACACTGCGGCTGGAAGGATTAGGTCAATTGAAAAAAAATCCAATGACCTCATCGGGATTTGAACCACCGACCTTCCGGCTTGTAGCATAGTGCCTCAACCAGCTAAGCATTATGGTAGGGATGATGCATATGGTAGTGGAGGTATAGCTCCAGTCATTTTTAACCTCAGCGCTAGATGGACATGAGTGGTTAACTGTATGTTCTGACAAATACCCACCCAGGGAGAGTCCCTGGTATCCAGGCTCACCTACACAAAGTGGCAAAGAGAAAAATCTCAACCCCTGTTAGGAATTAAACCTTAAAGTTCCTTGCTTGTTCAGTCTATAGCCAAGGCCATTAGGCACTGACTTCCTGGTGCAGAGCCTTGGGTTCAAACCCAAGAAACTTCATGTAAGATTTTTGGTGAATGAAATGGAAGTGGAGCAGGCTTTTCTTTGATTTATGCTTCTTGACATCATTCCCCCACTGCTTCACACTCCCTCCTCACACCCGTCCCCAAGGTCTGCAATAGCCCTGAGCAGACAGCATATTATCACGCCTCTGATCTTATGTTCGGGGTTACATTCTTGACCCAGCATTTGGCAGGTTACAAAGTATGGAAGTTAGGTTTTGCATGGCGCATTACCTTCAGGGAAGAACATATCAAATGTATGAACACATGGGCCCTGGAAAGATATCTGACCAAAGAGAGACAAAATAAATGAACTTCTGAAGACATTACACAAAAAGAAATCTGTGATTTAGACAGACTGCCAATATTATTATGGTGATGAATATATAGGGGAGACAAGCAGGTTAGATGACAAAATAAGAAATGCACTCTGAATTTTTAACTGGGAAATGTCTGGAAATGATGGTCAAGGAGATGGGAAAGAATTAAGACTGATCATAGAGAAACAGGTTGTGAGGTATATGGAAATGGCTTAAGAATGTGTTCAATGGTCAGCTTTGGTATTATCTGTGTTGAACCTTTGGGCATTACTGCCAAAGAGTAAGTTAATTAAACAATGAGTTAAGTTCACAAATCCATGATAACCAAACACGCAACAGCAGTAATAAAATAATCAGGGAAGTGCAAGATGATCAACCAGATAAATAAGAAGACACAAAAACTGTGTTTCAGCGATAGTTAAGTTTTATATAAAGATTAAAGACCCAGATTCAATAAGATTGATGTGAATGATTACTTTGATCTACAGTATATTTTATGCACTGGATCATGATAGTTCAGGGAAAGCAATTAATATAGACTCAATTTTCAATCCAGACAAGTGAAATACGAAAAATTACCATCTCAACTGAAAAACAGCCATTTTCAATCCATATTGAACACCTTATTGGTTTATTCAGTGAACACAAATATTATATACACCACACAAAATCACATACTGAGCATTCAAAATATTAATTACTTACATACTTATATAAATCTGTGCAAAGCAAATTTAAATCTAAGTATCTTAAAATGTTATATCCATAACACACATTAACTTATAAATGTGTTCAGGAAGCTTCTCAAAAAACAAATTAAAATATATAACAAAAAGGTGTACTGCATGAATTTATACAACATCCCTTATTCTAAAACCAAGACAAAATACAAACATAACTACACCAAAATCAGCATTCCACAAAGATGCATTCATATGCCTATAACAAAAGCATTCATTCAAGACTGCAGGCACTACACTAGTCAAAAAAGTCACTGACTTCTACACTCAAACATGTTATATAGGTACTCCATTCAAAGACAGTGAAAGTAATGTAAATATTTACAAGCACCTACTTCACAATTCTTGTCAGTGGATAATTTCCACAATGTTGTCAGCATTTGTAATCATGCAGCAAAAGAACCTAATATAATCTTTTCCTTTAAATTAAAATAATTTTTATGTTCACTGAAGTTCAAAAAACAACTCACAAATCTAATGTATTAGTCTCACACAGCAGGAACACAACAACTGATGAATTTATGAAGAACACTTGGTAATAAGCGGACAGCATCTCACTGAACTACTATTTCTATTATGGTTTTATCATAAAACTGTATTTATGACTTACATTTCTAATGAATTACTTCAGGTATTTTCTTTTTCAATTTAGGCGCCAACTGTATTTTATGATTTCAATATGACTAAAATAACACTGTCATATATATATGAAGACTTACAGCATAAAACAAATATGAAAGTTGCAGTTAATTCTTTGCAAAGGGGCAGGGAAGCGTTACTTCTTAAGACTTTTTATGAGAAATAAAACCGGACCTTATCAAGACATGCCATGTTAAATCCTTCATACAAACAATACCAACATGGCAACATTCTAATTGTACAGTTCCAAAATATATAGATCTTAGGTTCATACGGTGACATACATTAAGATTCTGGGATGTGACGCCATACAGCTCAGTAGTTTAGTACTAACATTTTGGAGCAACCCGTCTTCAGCTTCCATCTGCCCTGAAGATGGTTGCAGGAGGTTCTTTGGAAACACTAGTACCTATCTACCAAACTGCATGGTGTCACATCCAAGAATGTGACCTAAATACGAAGTCTGATATTCCCCTACTTCTTTAGTTCAGAATTTTTAATTCCTTCCTATTGTTTATGAAAAATACGTTGGTACCATATCCCACAGGGGTGACCAAAAAAAATCCCTGATTTTAGATAACATGGTCATGGAGATGATCAATGTTTTATAACCTTTATTACTAAAATTAATGTTTGAAGAGAAAATTCCAATAAATTTAAAATATAAGACTGAATAAGTTTGAAATAAGCATGAAGAATGATCACTCTTTAGTGAAGAGAGTGAATTGCCATGCAGCCTACAACAGCAAATCATCATTGCACAGTGTCATTTTCACATTTCAGTTCCCTTTTAATAATATGAAAAATGAAACAGCTGTACAATGAGTAAACCTTTCCAGAGGTACCCGCTGCTGTCCATTCCAAGGAGTATTCATGTCACACATTTAGTGTACAGAGAAACCAACAATGAACCGGAGATATGGTTCTCACAGTGGTGAATATGGCAATTAGTGTCTTCTACAGTGCAATGCCATGTGGTCTGTCACATTGTTACCAATAGGTTGGACACCTGCTGACTCCATCTCCATGGTACACTCATGGCCCTCGGCCCTCGGACCTGTCCTCCCTCTCCAATATCTTTACCATACTGTCACGTGTTTATGGCTGCGTGGGCCCTCGGACCTGTCCTCCCTCTCCAATATCTTTACCATACTGTCACGTGTTTATGGCTGCGTGACTAATAATAACAGGTACTGGATTGGATGATTGGATTTGACACCTTCTTTTACAATCATTTTTAATCACAATCAATTACAATAACTCATAATAAATGGCTGCCTAAGACTCACTCCATTCTGACTGGACTACAACTGTCTTCTCGTTTAGTCTTCTCTTCACAGGCTGACTTCCAACTGATAACTGACATGGTTTAGAGTCAAGAGTTTCTTTAAGACTGTTGGTTTGCCGCCAATCAGTTTGTCTAGGTGACAAGCCCCTTGAGACTCACGACCAGTAATTTTATTTTCCAATTGAACATTTGCAGTTATAGTCCTTATGTAACACCCTCTCTGATGAGAGGATGGGTCTCTCACTTACAATTGCTGCTGGTTCTCGCCAGCACAGTCATTCTCTACCACATCTTACTGCCTCAGATTTGAGATGCCCCAACCTGGAGGGCCAGGTCCCCATATTTATATCCCCCAGGCACATGATGGCCTGGTTATACCCTCAGGCACTGGGCTCCCTTTTTGTTGCCTCCTACAACTCATAGGGCTATGGTGGGGGTATTCAACCCCATGACTTAGTTCTTATTTGAACAGCCGCTTATACAGTACATCGGTATCCTACCAAATGTTTGTTGATCAGCTGTTGATTCCACAGCAACGAGTTGGCTTCCAAGAATCTACATCTTTCATTTTCATAACCCAGGAAACGTGTTCATCAACTCGTTTCCTAGGAATAGGTCTACATGTCACAATATTTTTTTATGCTTGGTTCAGTCATCCACCCTGAAGATGGAGGTAGTACATTCCTTCAAAATATTGATTACCATCTGCCAGACTACAAAGCATCACATCCTTGAAAACAGTAAAGTTCTGTCTAATAGTTACTGTATAAATCTCAATGCACATTATTTTAACTTCACTGTAGTATCACATGAACTCAGAGCATCAGTTTCAAGAGTGAAGGGCACATTCAATCAGAATCTAACTCAATAAGAAAAAATTATGGTATTGTAAGATTTGAGGTTTTCACAGCGATACGTTCCTCCAAAACGTCAGTTCACACAAGATCTACATGGCGCCACACTCCAGAAGATGACATTCTTCAACTATGGTATTACGTACATTCTGGTATTGTACATAATTTCTGAAAACTCACAGCATGGCAAGTGAGAGAGTTAGGTGACTTGAGGATCTCTTTAGTGTGGCTGTTGAGATTACAGTTTCCTGGGACAAAATGCTATGTAGTTTGGCAGATGGGTACCAACTCTGACTCTTCTATCATGATTATCTGCTGGTCTTGATTATGGAACTATATGGCAAATGTAACACTAGAACTTCTTACAATATGACAATATTTTTACCTATAATTCATACAGATTTTCACTCAGTTTCTGAGTTTTATCAAACATGAATTCCTCCTCAAATCTCACCCTTATTTCTCTGAAATCAGTCTGAAATTTCTGATACTTGCCCAAATACAACTGACATTATTTAAAACGTCTATTTAAAGAATGTATTATATATCACAGTATGAGAACAAAGGAATTATATCCATAACATTGCAATGATGGACATAGTGACAGAACTCACCTGAAAATGTAAATTAATTATTACATATGTGAAACAAAAATTCTGGTCCACATTTAAGACAGAAACCCAGATGGGCAGACAACTGCAGACTGTGTGACTGCTGTATCACCAGTGTAACAAGGATTTTGTAGTACTAGAATATTTACAGAAGTGTTTTGATGTTTATGGAAATAATGGCTTGAAAACAACCCTACCTTCACCATATTCATCACACACACATATTACATTACTAAAATTTTCATGCTATGCAACCTTCTAACTGAAATCAATCCCACTCTTGTACTTTCATTCAAATATCCATACATTAACCTCAATTTAATTTAAATGATGTACACAGCACAGCTTATAGAATGTATGCACAGAACATCAAATTATACTCACATTTCATCAGATTTCTAAGGCCTTCATCAAATATCAAACCCACTTATTACAATTTATATGGTCACATGTTAGTGACTAGACATGGGGTTTGTAGTGGTAACTGGATTTATTGAATGCTTATAAACTGTAACTGCATGTAATTATAACGCTCTCACTAATTCTCTCACTCTGCTTCTCATTACGGCACATGCCAAGTCTCCTGCCTCTTTACTAGTTGCCTGGTAAAGGAGCACAACAAAGTCCTCTGCTTACATCCTCACTGCCCAGTGACTGTCTCACAACTACGCTAACTCATGGTATCACCAGCCAGCACTGACCATGACTCTATGTTATGACCAATGGTCAGTTGGCCAGTCTGTCTTGGTGTCAAGCACCCATCTGGGGCTTACAACCAGATTTCTTTTCTGTCTGACAGTTTTGTGTTTGTTGTTATTTATGTGCTGGTCCAGAAATTGTCTGTTGATATCAGTCATTATGTCACAATATTTAATGGGTGCATAAACTAGATCCTTGAATGCCACATTTACGAGACAGGTTATATTTTTATTTTGCCTTAATGTTATATTATTATTTATTACTAATTGATAGTATTCCTCATGATATGTTCATTAAGTTGTAGACAAGAATGCTACGCCAGTCTCAAGAAAACAGCACTCACTCAGAGTTCCAACTGCTTGAAGAAGACGGATTAAGGAACATTTAGTATGCTTTACATATATGAAACTTATGACAAACTGGCTATTACTTCTGTAACTGTTTAAACTTCATTTATGACTGGCTTCAGATTGAGTTAGCCATTCCAGATTTCAGCTGTGAGACAGTGCATGCGCACACTGAACACCAAACACTAAACAATCTGTCTGATAACAATCAGTGGTAACTACCTTCAGTACAGGGATTACAGTCCTTTGGTGCAGATCACTGTTGCGGTGTATCAACCTAGTCAAACAAACGAGTCTTCATGTACAAGATATTCCGTTAGTAAGGACCCTAATTTTTAAAATGAATACACTTTCTCGGTGTACACAGACACACAGATAAAATGTACAGTAGGTCTTTAATATTAGAATTAGCATATAACATTTCTTCCTGGCCACCATGTTATTAGATTTGAGGTTCTCACAGCAGAGACTATAAAGAGTTCTATTTTCTGTGATGTAATGCCATGCAGTCTGGTAAAAGTCTACCAACATTTTGGAGGAATGTCTCACCTTCATCTTTCTCCAAAATGTTTGATGACTTTTACTGGACTACATGGGGTGACAATCCACAAGGCACAGCAGCTCTATATGGTGTTGCTACTTTACACTCCCCCCCCCACAAAAAAGGTTGATTATTTTTTTGAAGATCTATTAACATACATGACTTCATGGTCCTAAATTAAATGGAGCTTGTGCCACTTCAACTACACAAATTTGTTGAGTGATTATTACCAACTGTAGGATATTAAAGAGTATGATGGTGTGGCCTTGAATATTCATACCAAGTTTTATGAAAATNATTACTGAAAATGGTCCAAATTATCATCCATTTTGTATATAACTATGATACTATCCTGTGATCAGAGAAAATTTCATCAGAATATTTACATATGTGTGGCTTAGTCTAACACTTTCTGCCTCATCTGGGTTCTTTATATAAAATAAATCATCAGTCAACCTCAAACTTTGAATTAAGTCTTTAAAGAATTCAACAAAAAACATAAGGACATCATTCTACTGAACTGAAAGCAGTGCTGACACACAAATCACACCCAAGACATATACAAACTACAAATGTGCAAAGCATATCATGCCTACATCCAGAAGCATGCACACATCAATACTGTAAATTAAGCACAACAGATCATTGAAGGTCACAATGCAAGGGCCAGATAATTGTGGTTCGCCCCTTAAGCAATACTGTAAATTTAGAAGCAGCAGAACAAACAAGGGAATTGTTAGGAAAGAAAATATACAGGAATTATATCAAATGCATTTCAGGATTAAATCAAGGGAAACGTGTGTGACTGAACATTCATCTCACACTTGCTGTATACTAGATGCATACCTGGGAGAGTGACATTTCAGGAAAAGCTGTTCATGTGTGCATAACAAATGACACCACTCCTCCATATGCCTTCGCAGTGTAGTGCTTAATTAGTTAACCACATGAACAACTTTACCTTTTTACGAGCAAAAGGAGAAAAATTTATGATTCTCCTTTACCTGGGTGACCATATTGGGATATGAAGTTGTCACTGAAGGCTGTATAAGCCTCAAAAAGAAAATTATGTTCTTAAAAAACTGATAAATACCTAACAATTACTCACATCAGCTAGCCATATAAACCAAATGACACAGTATCAATGAGATATCCTGAATTCTGATTGGTGTTCGTAAGTTCTTCACATGCATGTTAAAGCTTACCAAAAATGGACCCAACTAACCTTTATCATAACTATTCACGGACACAGCATTTGAAAATATAGCAAAACCACCATTTGAGGATATTTGGGAAGCAGTGTTTGTTTACACTTTAGTCTAGGCAGTATATCAGAAAAATTAACCAAATCATAATAGGAATTTCAGAATTCATATTTGTCAAAATCTCAATTCCAATGGTTTTTTTCTATTCTATTTTCTTCTTTTTCTACCTTTTCCTTCTATCTTCTCCATTTGGGGATACTGTACTTCTCCCTGTATTACACATGAGATACTAAAAATTGCTGTGTGAAGGTAAACTTGTCCCTGTGCTTAATTAATTTAGCACTGTTCCACAAAGACATATTTGGAAGAGGAGGTACTGCCTCATCAATCTTGTTCTTCATCCAGATTCATGCCCTGGCCACTTTACCCCTAGGAAATTTCCCCCAGTACCCATGGCATAGGAGGCCGGGTAAGCCCCAGAGCCAGTCTGAACGCTGCAGAGATGAGAAAAATCTTTCCCCTACCAGAAATTGCACCCTGCCTATCCAGCCATAGCCCATTGCTATGCTGACTCAGCTATCCGGACACCTATTAAAAGCCATATTATTAATGGAGCCTGAACATGACTCTGAGACCAATCCCTACAATAGGCCATGTTTAATATCAACACTGGTATTAAAGACATTTGACAGGTGTGCATTTGTTACATGGGAAGGTGGGCTGCTACACTGTGTAAGTTTGGAGTCGGCAATGAGGACAAAGCATCAGACAACAAAGCCAATTAGATCTTCTACCACCGCTCAACACACATAACTACTATGGTAGCAGGTGGTGGTGACTAAGGAAACACAAAGAGGAGTGTTAGTGTTTACCGATATTAGCTACCTCCCCATCCTTGTATTCAAACAAAAACAAGAACGTCTGCAAAGAACTAATGACCTTCTTTCCTTTCACTACACATTGAGTATTTGAAATGATATGGACTGCAGAGAAAACACTGACTCCAACAATTTTTCTATTGTTGCGTGTGTATTCATTGTCATAGGAATGTGTTTAGCAAGTCACTGCTTTGGTTAGTTGCTGGCTTCCCACCGCAGTGGCCCGGATTCGATCCCGGGTCTGGTCAAGTGGGATCTATGGTGGACAAAGTGGCGCTGGGTTGGGTTTCCTCTGAGTACTTCGATTTCCCATGCCAATCTTCATTCCATCAAATTCTCCATCATCATAATCACCCGGGGCCGCTGTGCCGAGTGGACTCAGTTGGACTACCCCCCCCCAAGCGAATTAAAAAAAGTCACTGTTTTGCAATGGTAGAGGGGGGGACAGACAGACAGCAAGGTCATCTCATAAGCCTCATTTTATTTTTTTTTTAAGATAAAGGATGGAGGCGAGATATGAGTAGAGGATAACGAGAATCGTTAAAGTTCAATTTCTGTCTAAGCACCCTAATTATCAAACCTACATTATTAATTAAAGTTCTAGTAAGTTTTCAGGGTCACACTGCAGTGAACATCAAGAATATGGTCTTCTAGAGGAACCAAGGATGGAAACATCTATTCTCCGAACTACTGCGTTTTGTTCGGAATATGAGACAATGGAAACAGTTCAGAAACCCAGTAATTGTAAGTGCAAAATACCCTAATCAGAAGAAAACCCTTTAGATGTGATTAATTATAATATCAGAGAAGTAATTTAGAGTTAAAAATACTGAATGCTCCAGCCAAGTCATGACCACAATTCCTTACCAGACCCTACAGTTCTCTTGCCAAGCAACAAAAGCTGCTGAGGCAGTGTAGACATATGAAATACAGAAATTATGACAAGTAACAAAATCTGTAAAGGGAAAATGATATTCTAACTTAAACTATAACTGCCCCTAACTCCACAGTCTTTCTTGACATGCTCCACTAGCCAAAAAATTCCTACAATTTTATAGAATCCAAAGGTTCATTATTATGTTCACAAGAGCCCATCACCGGCTCCTAGTCTGATCCAGGTGAATTCAGTCCACACCCTCCCAACCTATTTCTTTAAGCCCATTTTAATATTATCCTCCTATATATATATATATGACAATGTTTATAATCACAAAGTATGTTATCATTAACTTGTTCATAATTTTACATAACCCATAATCTGTGGAAGCTGAGTGAACCAGAATTTTCAAAATATTCAAACTCATGAAACTTACAATGAATTCGGAAAGCTTTCGAAGGAAGCAGCCATGGCTACAAGATTTGACTGATCGAAGAAAATAATAAAAATAAAAAATCCCATCCAAGATGGCCAGTTTTCTGACTATGTTTCAGACCACGGACCTTTTCATTATGAAGCTAGAGTTCTAATTACCTTACCACAATGAACAATGTGAGTATCATTCAAAATCATCATTATGCTTATGACTTGATAGTGGCGTTATTCAGTTCCTTCCTTGGAGTAACAGATGAAATTCTACACCCATACAAAACAACAGGTTATAAAGTACTTTTACATTCTAGTCTTCAGGTTCCTACAGCTGGAGCTTGCAGTGTGGCTTCTGTATTCAGAAGTGGGCAACATTGAATGTTGACAGTTTTCAATTTCAGCAAACCTTGAAACTGCCATCTTTAGGGTTAATGACTTGGGGAGGGATTTTAGCAGCTGCAACACAGTTCTCGCATTATGCAGTGCATTGGAAGTGAAGCAAGAGCCGTCAAAACCACCTCCCAAAGTCGTCAACCCTGAAGATGGTGACTACAACATCTGCCAAAATATCATAAAATCCTTGATATTCAGTGCGGCATAGTCCTGAAGGCCGAGGCCACAGAATAGTGTTATATATTCTAATCTTCATATTTCTGAGAGGAGATTCAAGTACTTAATAATCATAAAAAATAGGAGATCAATAATTATGGCCCCAATGTCCTATGACATTGCGCAAGTCTTAAGAACAAGGTTCCTACTATGACAATTTCGACCGTCTTGTTCCATGACCCCAAAACAATGATTTCTGGTCCCATCACCAGCCACACGTGCGTTGTGCAGTGAATGTGGGAGGACTAGACGGTGGTCTCCAGTACCTCTTGTGTGGGGAGTGCGATGAGAGGCGTTGGTTCAGCAACCACAGTGCGACGTGTCAGCTCCGGGTCAGGCCACGTAGCTGACGAGACTCCAGTCAGAGGAGAATTGTGTGTTGATACTGATATGCCAGAAGACAGCACCGAATCATTGGAGCTTGATGCCCGCCTCCGCATCGACTCCTCTGAGGAACTTGATTTGAGCAGTTCATGCTTATCACGGTCCTCATCCCTGAAACATCACACAAATGCTGTCACTGGTCCCAACACAAGCTCACAGACCAAGATGGCTGACACAGAAGACAAAGTCCAAACTCATCACGTTAATATTTATGTTTGCATAAAAGGTACAGTGAAGTTGTCCCTTGCTTAAGTAATTAAGCACTATGCCATGAAAGCATATGGGGGAGTGGATGTATAGATCCATATTTTCTTGACCTTGGCACTAGTTGGAGGTGAGTGGTTAGCTACACACCCCGGCCACTTTACCCCCAGACAAAGAGCCCCTGGTACCCCTTGTATAGGAAGCTGCTTGGGCCCCAGAGCCAGCCTGGGCAACATGGAGAACAGAAAATTCCTAACCTTACTGGACTTGAACTCTGAACCCTTGGTCATCCAGTCCATAGCCAGTTGCTATACCAACTGCACTGTCCTGGCTTTATGTTTGTGTAGATTAGTTAATGACATTTTCGGCACCTCAGAGTTGAATAACTGGATGATAATGAATTTGAAGGAATGCACAAGCAAGTGGTCATGGCCTAATTTAAGGTCCTAGCCCAGAACTTGGTCTTGGGGGATTCGGTAAATTACAGAAATCTCAGCCATGTTAACTGGTGAGACTAAGTAACCTCAGGTTATAGGATGACTGATGAATTCAAAAGGATGTGCAAGGAAGTCATTGTGGCCTAACTGTGGAATATCCCAGCATTTGCTTGGAGGCAGTGGGAAAAATCACAAAAGAAACCTCAATTGGGAGAGTTGATGCCTCACCTGAGATTTCAATAAAGTTCTCCATGAATACAAGTGTACGGCATTACTTACAGACCAGCCTCTTCTGTGGTTAACAGGAGTTCTGGCCGAAGTATGATCCAGCCATTTATTCTTCCCTTAATGTGAAAGAGCAAGTACCATATCCATACAAAACACCTGATAATATCAAAATTCTGTATTGCGAACAATGTGTGAGGAAAATAAACAGCATTAAATTACACCCAACTTAAAGCCAAATACCAGAGAAACTGGTGTGACCTTTGAAGCACATATATCATTAGATAGATGAGATGTGACGGACATGTTCATGTTTCTGCATGAATTCAATGGATTACACTCACTTAATTTTGAGCATAATATATTTGTCTGGTATGAGGCCCTCCTGCCCATTGACACTGCCTCGCCACCAGTCATTGGACACCTGGGAGAACAAGATGACATTGTCGCCCTTCTTGAAACTCAGCTCACGTTCAGAGCGAGCCATGAAATCAAACTGCGCTGTGGCTTCTAGGCACTCAGATTCTGCAACATGAGAACTCACGTCACATTGTGTCTTTTTATTCAATAAATTAGTTCATGATTCGCACAAAGCACATTACAATTTTAACAGAAATTTGCTAAAAACAAATTACATCAAAAATACTTACTCCCAATATCTTGAATATTTCTGAAAAGACAGTCACGTTTATATTAAGATATAAAATTTGATAGAAGGGCCATATTTATCAAATGGTGCTCCTGTCTACAAGGTTCCTTTTGGCAAATGTGGGCACTGATACTGCCTCAAACATACTTTTGATGCTGTCTTCTTATTCTTATATTCATAACTATTTACTAACATCAGTTAATCAACTATAAAAATATAATCAATTTTATATGTGCACAAAAACTCTCATGGCTTGGCCAAGTAGTTCAAATGCCAACCAACAGTTCAAATAAAAGCCTGTACTCATGGAAACCATTACGTACAAGACCAGTGGGCAGACCGAAAATAGGATGGGAGGATGATGTTAAAGCTGACATTAAGAAGCTGAAGGTACCAAACTGGAAGATAACTGTCCAGGACAGGACAAAGTGGAAAGGTGTGGTTGAGAAGACCAAAACTTGACATGAGTTGTAGCGTCAAAATAGATGATTTGCTAACATAAGCATTGAAAACAGCAAAACTATGACGATACAGTACATCAACAGTCAGTACTACAATACAATAAAATAAGATGCAACAAGCTCAATTACAAAGGCCACTTTACATAGTAAATCTTAATTCCCGTATATAATATCCTCTTGCATCTTCTGACCACAACACACACAATAACTCCAGACATTTTCCAAGGGATTAAGTGTCTTATGGACCAAAAAATATGAAAAATGTTCATGTGCTTTTGTTTATCTAAGAATCATGCATCATGTTCATGAGTTATATAATACAAAATGGCCATGACATAGATCAGGTGAGTAGATGGTGGCTTCTCATTATGGAGGCTCAGGTTCAATCCCAGATGCTTTCATGTGAGATTCATGGTGAATGAAGGCTTTTCTCCAAATGTTTTTAATTTTATCTGACAGTCATCATTCCACAATTGGTCCTTACTCACCTATCACCACCCCTTGAGGTACGCAACAGCCCTAACCAGACATCACAGTACCACTTCCATCTCAGACTTCATACTGGACTGATTAAAGGGTAAGGGATATAATTGTGTATCACCAAATGACAGGAGTCTGTGAATGACAAATAATTCCTTCAGTTGTACAACTGTTGGACTCAGTCCAATTTCGGACTTGATATTCCGAGTCCTCAGAAAGGTGGAGTGTCATCATTAGTTCATCTCTGCGTACATAGTACACACTGTAGCAGAACAGTGCACTCACCATCTTCTGAAGGATAAACTTCAGAATCCATATCTTCCTGGACGTGATCCGAAGGAGAGTCACCAACATCACTGCAACACAATTACAAATGTAGGATAAATTAAGAGTTGCCCCTGTGCCTGAGCACCAAGTCACAAAAAGCTCCACATATTTTCAACCTCAGCATTAGATGGTATTCTGACATGATGCCTGAAGGCAGGAACAGTGGAGCAGGAGGAGAAGTCAACTGCTAGGCAACGGCTCAGTACACAAATTTCCCTAGCAACGGATATGGAAGCAACAACAGAAGAATTGCTGGGAACAATAGTTTCTATCTGGTCTGTGCAAAGTGATATTCTAAAGGAAAGTTCAGTTGAGAATCAGTAGTCGAGTTCTGAAGTTCCAAGGAAGCAGTTAGTCGACGTCTTAGCTCTGCAAGGAAGGCTGAGAAATGGTGCTGTGAGTTCAGCTGGCAGTTGGGCTGTGAAGTGAAGATTTTACATGTGCTACAATTCAGTGAGACTAAAGGCCCACCGAGGAAACTGGCAAGCACAACGCAACCGCAATTTCCAAGAAAAAATCGCCGATTTTGAGTAGACAACTGGTTTCCAGATTAGCAGGAGAACACTTACTTACTTACTTACTTACTTACTTACTTACTCATGGAGCTGAGCCCTTCTGAGGAGCCGCCAATTCTGCAGCTACTCAAGAATTTTCCAGCATTTTATGGAACCCGAAGGTTCATTACTGTGTTCACAAGAGCCCTCCACTGGTCCCTATCCTGAGCCACATAAATCCAATCCATACCATCCCATCCTATCTCTCTAAGATCCATTTTAATACTGTCCACCCACCTATGCCTTGATCTTCCCAGTGGGCTCTTACCTTCTGCCTTTCCCAAAAATATCCTATATGCATTCCTCATCTCCCCCATTCATGCTACATGCCCTGCTCACCTCATCCTCCTTGACCTGATCATTCTAATTATATTTGGAGAAGGGTACAAGTCATGAAGCTCCTCATTATGCAGTTTTCTCCAACCTCCTGTCACTTCATCTCTCTTCAGTGCAAATATTCTCCTCAACACCCTGTTTTCGAACTCCCTCAGTCTATGTTCCTCCCTTAATGTCAGAGACCAAGTTTCACACTCACACAGGACCAGAGACAAAATTATAGTTTTGTATATTCTAATTTTTATGTTTTTGGACAGCAGACAAGAAGACAAAGGGTTCTAGACTGAATGGTAGCAAGCATTACCCGAGTTCAATCAGAAGAACACTAAGGAAACTTGTGTTTGATTAGTTATTCACATCATGTTAAGTGGGTATGTTCGTCCAACGTAATACACAATTGTATTTTTTAATTTCGTGCACTCACCTTCTGCAATGTAAGATAATAATCCTGATCCTGTCATAATATGGTATCGGTTGAGAAGGCGTGAAAAGAAAGGATGATGACCATAAGGGATATACTGGGATGTTAATTAATTTATTTTAATGAATGTTAATTTATTTTAACCAGGAAATATCGCGTTCACACACGATACCAAATTCTGGCATACAGTGCAACAATTTTAGCAAGATAGAAGACACCTGATGACGGCCGTATATAGCCAAACCATGTAATGTGTAAGAAGGGTGACTATATAATGAGTTGTATTTAAGACGGAAATATATGTGAAATAAATAATATATTAATGCAACATGCTGCTTAAATACAATATTAGGAAAAGAAAACATTGTGTGCATCCGTTCTTCTGTGGCAATTTAAACTGACGCGCTTGTATTGTTTCGAAAGTACTTACTCCTTCGTCTAATGAGAAATTCCATCCAAAGTCTATTCTACTTTGTTCCGCCTGGCATAGCCTGGGTGGCGTTTCTCATATATGCCAGGCTCTTGCTCAATTAACTGCACAAAAACAAAATTAGCGGCTTCGTCAACCTTTCGTGCATCACGAAACAAATGAATCAACGACGCGCGTTATAGAACAGCTGACACTACGAAACCACGCGGCAAAGCAATTACGAGAAGACTGGCATGCTCCGTTGCCTCGAAGTTGAGTTTCTCAGTCTTCCAGCGAGTTGCGTTGCCGTTTCCTCAATTTGCGCTGCTCCATTCAGTAACATGTGTTTAACTCAGGCTGATAACAATTCTCGGAAATTGCGGTTGCGTTGCGGTTTACGGTTTCCTTAGTGGGCCCTCTCCCTAAGAGTTACAAAAATTATTGCAAATACTTCGGGGCGATCAACAAAAACTGAATGGCCGAACCCCCTGTAAAACTGGCAGTGTCAACTGGTCAAAGTGCATATAAATTTCATCATGTTGGCTGAAATTTTATTCGTGTTATATCACAACAAGCATATGACCCATCAAGGAGGATGGACAAAATAATTTCTTTCTTCCTTTCCTTTATTCCTTTTCTACCTTTATTTCCTATTTCCCCGTGATCGTTTTTCTGTCCTTTAATTTATCCATCCCATCCTAATTCCTCTCCTCCTTTCTTCCTTCTTCTCCTTCACACAAAATCACTTCCCTCGCCACTGTTTTTCCGTTCCTCTTTCCCCTCAACTCCGCCAATTCTCTCTTCGGCATTCCTCTCCATCCCTAAAAGTTGCCCGTCTAATTGTCACTCATCCTTCCTTTCTTCTATTCCTTCATATTCAAACAGTTCCGCTTATGGGACGCATGGAACATTCCACTCATAGCCTTGTCTAAATCATAGTTCATTATATAGATTCATAAGCCTATGGCTGGAAATCGGAACTTTTATTGAAATCTCCTATGAAGTTTCAAGAAATCTGTCCAGCGGTTTAGAGGATGATAATAGGCGACAGGCATATATATATACGTATATAACTTACACATGAGGCCCTCCTCTTGCCTACTTTGGAAGAAAACTTTGAAATGAGCGAATTCCTCAGCTGAGGTAAGGTACAAGTAAAGCTATCTCTGTAAGAGGTCGTGAAGGCCCGTGAAAGCCCATAGGGTTGTGAGATGCTTCCACATTACCTCTACACAATTGGCTCACAGATTGTCCTTTAACCCCCAGGAAGATTCCTGGTACTCATTTCTGTTAGAGGCTGAGTCGATCCCGGGGCCATAGTGCATCTGGAAGGATTAGGTAAATTGAAAACATCCACCTCTTCGGGACTCGAGCCCGCGACCTCCCGGCTTATAGCACAGTTCCCCCACCCCTCAGTAGAGGTAATTTGGTTTTTATTCCGACTCATACTTTTAGGAATAGCTCCTAGACATATAGGTACTTTGGAGAAGCCTCTCCTGGAAGGAGAATGTGGCATGTAATCATCATATGTGGGTGTGTTTATAAATACATATATGGAGGGCCGCGCCATAGCTCAAGCGGTTAGTCGCTGGCTGCCACCGCGGGGGCCCGGCTTCGATCCCGGGGTCTGGTCATGTGGGATTTGTGGCGGACGAAGTGGCGCTGAGGCAGGTTTTCTCCGAGTACTTCGGTTTCCCCTGCCAATCTTCATTCCACAAATTGCTTCACAATCACCCTCATCATTCATCTGGGGCTGGTACAATACGCCAGAAGTGGCCGCAGTACAAGGGACTTAGTCCCACCCCACTAGCAATAAAAAAAGAGACATATATAAACTTGATTTCGCGTGGCTTGCATCGTACGAAATCTCTGAATTGCCTGCAGTCGGCCGAGGATTCGAAGCAGATACCTACTGAATACCGCTGAATACTATATACTTCATGGCGTCGAATGTGAAAAATTACGAAGAAGAAGTATAAATGGCAGCGGGAGAAGTAAAGGAGGAGAGGAACGTAAGCAAAGAGAGGAAGTAAAGAAACAAGATAGAATTATTGTAAGCTACTTGAAGTTCATAGTCTGGGTCACTCCATCAAACAGAGTTAAACAGTTGGTAAATAAATGTGACATGAATTTCTTCATGGGAGATTTCCTTAAACCTGTTCTCACGTTCCAGCTCCCTGGGACAATTCGGTCTTCAGAAGTTGTGCTTCTCACAGCACTGCTGTATGTTATTTGATCTGCAGAAACGGATGGACTGGCGATAACCAACCTGACACCAGCTTGCAGCAGTGCGAGAGGATGGAAGGAGGGTTGTATGCCAGCACCCGGGCTAGTCGTTCGCTTGCTCTGCTTAGTTCGCTGTCTCTAGATTTGTTTCTATGCAAGAGTCCATCCAGAGGCGGATGTTTCGTTAGACAACACTTTCCTTTCATTGCTAGTGGGGTGGAACTAAGTCCCTTGTACTGCGGCCACTTCTGGCCTATTGTACCAGCCCCTGATGATACGTGAGGGTGATTGTGGAGCAATTGGTGTAATGAAGATTGGCAGGGGAAACCGAAGTACTCGGAGAAAACCTGCCCCAGAGCCACTTTGTCCACCACAAACCCCACTTGACCAGATCCCGGGATCGAACCCGGGCCGCCGCGGTGGGAAGCCAGCGCCTAGCCGCTTGAGCTATGGCGCGGCCCTAGATAACACTATACACTGCCCCTTTTAGCCTACTTTCCTTGTTCTTAAAAAAGAAAAATGAATTAGGCATATGCGATCTCCATGCTGTCTGTGTATCCCCCACCCCCATCAGCTTCTGAATGGCTGAACCAATGTTTATGAAACCTGGTGTGTGTATATCATGGCACGTGAGCTCATTTCAGCGGCAGACTTCATGAATCCCTCCATCCTGTCTGTGTGTCTACATGTGTGGCCCTCCTGTCTGGCTATTTTATTTTTATTTCATTTATTTGTGATTTGTTAAATGAAGCCACCACTAACTCAGAACTTTTAGGGTCAAATGATCGAATTACATCGATTCGTGATCTGAAAAAGATTACAGATGCCACCAAACCGACATTTTCATGGAGGAACTGAGGAAATCCAGGGAAAATATAATTCAGGATGGGCAATGTTCCGGCCTCAATTCGAACCGAGCACTTCTCGAATACAACTCAGAAGCGTTACCGACTGAGCCACCTTGCTCGAGTCCTCACTTCATCAACTAGACCATCACTAATAGAAGAACGATGTGTCTAATAAAGTTTAGTATTGATTATAGGAGCATAAAGCTATTAAAACATATTACAAAACAGATACATA